CTGAGTGAATCGTTTCCCACAAGTGTTACAACAATATGGCCTCTCACCTGTGTGAATTCTAATGTGGGTTTTGAAGGCTGACAAGACTCTAAAGGTTTTTCCACATGTGCTACAACAATATGGCTTTTCACCTGTGTGGACTCTCATATGAGTTTTCAGGTTTATCATCTGACTGAATCCTTTTCCACAGATACTGCAAAAATGTGACTTCTCACCTGTGTGAATTTTCATGTGAGTTTCCAGTCCATATTTCTGACCAAAACGTTTCCCGCAGGTGCTACAAGAAAAAGGCTTCTCACCTGTGTGAATTCTTACATGTTTTGTCAAGTGACATTTATACTTAAAAGTCTTTCCACAAGTGTCACATTTTAGAGACTTTTTACTTTTGTCAGTTTTACACTGATTCTCTGGCACTGGAGAGTTGTTTACACTGTTACTGTTCTTCAGCTCTGGTTTTCTAGTAGATTCTGATTCCACATGCTCATTTTCTCCTTGATGCTGGCTCTCTGGTGCAGGAGAGTTGTGAGAAAGGAGCTGGTCTCTGTTTGGTTCATGTTCACTTTCATCAAAAGTCACCATAAAGGTATCAATCTCCTCCTTCAATAAAAGCTGTTCTCCTTCCTCACTGGTGCAAAGTTCCTCTGGTTCCTCTTTAATCCATGGGAGTTCTGGGTCCTCGTGGTTCAAACTGGAGTTCCTCTCCTGGTTACACACCTGCTGGTCATGCAGATCCTCTTGCTTAAAGACACACTGTTGCGCAAGATCTGAAGGGACAAGTGGACAAAAATATATTCTAATTTTAACGATTAGCAGTACTTTAATGGTTGTGAACTATGAACAGGTTGCTCACATGTACCACTGAAATTTAGAGTGTACAAATGTGACAAATTATTTGGACACTGAAGCAAATTTTTGAGTATTTGGATGTTTGTGATACTAAATATGTATGAATTTTAAAGATATTGGTTTTCTTCCAATTTAATTTAGTTTTGGAATGGAGTTATAAGGTACAGCTGCTTTGCTGGCTCTGACCTCTTATATCGTGGTAAACACTTTGACTGCACACGTCCAAACACCATGAAAAACACTCTTCTTATATGATCAACTTCATTTTAGAAATTCTGAATTGTATATTATGAAAACTGAATCTAAAAATTAATCCATTAATTAATCCTGGGAATTGATCAAATTAAATTTCACACATTTCCATTCTACAGAGAAAAAACTTAACAATCTTTAACTTAAACTGATGACAAAAAAAAGAAACTTCTGCTGTTGGATTTGTGTCTCTGTAGGGGAGCAGACACTTCACTTCTTGCATTCTGGTGAATTTTTTTCACATGAATTAACATTTTTTTGCATCCTTAAAATGCAATGATGGGAATAATGGCGTTAAAAGTAACAACGTTACTAACGCTGTTACTTTTGTCAGTAACTAGTATTATAACTAATTACTATTTCTATGTTTACAACGCTGTTACAGTTACTAATAAGAAAATGTGGTGCGGACACGTTACTATTTTTCATTTAACCAGGAGCTGGGGGGGACAATCACACGGGTGCTGGTGATTGGCTGAGGAAAAATAAAGTAGTCATGGTAAACCAATCACCTGACTAATTTAAGATGACACATAGCAACAAGATGCTATTTCAACCCCAGACAACCCTGAGTGTTCATTTTTGTGTTAAAAGTGGTAAATGTGATAAAAAAAAAAAAAAAGTGATAAAAAAAATATACACCATAATTTTTTCTGGAATACTATCGTCACATTTCCTGTCTAAGGTCAGTGGTAGGAAGAGAGAGATTGAGTTTTAAGATGTGAGAGATTTGTAGCATGTTTGGAGTGTAGTTAGTGTGTTGATGTGTAGTTCGTGTGGATAATTGTTTGTTTTGTGTATAAGAACAGTGAAGCCACTGCTGCATGTCAAAGTTGCTGTCAAAGAGCCACCATTTACACTGCAGTCTGCAGAGGTGCATTCATTTTACTTATTGCAGTTGGCCCTTAGATTCCTGCTATGCTAAGAAAAAGAAAAGTTACTTCATTATTTTTAAGGGCAGTTTAGCATACCTTTACTGTATGTCGTTATTTCAGGTTTCCAGATGGTATCCAGCAGTCTGAGCCGCTCTTCTCCGGTCCAGATGATGATGTCCTCAGCCTCCTGCTTCACTACAAGCTGCTCTCCCTCTTTAATCTGTGGAAACTCTGGGTCCTGTGGGTCCTGTGGGTCCAATGTGGAGTTACTCTCCTGGTTACAGACCTGCTGGACATCCAGACCCTTCCCCTCATTACAGTTCATGTTGCTGTTGGTTGTCTTAGGAGCAAATGAACACAAGAAAAAGATCTGATGTGATTATAGGAGAACACACATAAGCAAATATATCTCAGCAAGACTATGAATATGTTGCTCAAATAAAAACTACTTTCAGCAGCTTGCTTATTGATAAGAGATACCTGCCTCAGCAGGAAGCTCTAGGAATCCAGGTGTAGGTGTGTCACAGGTTAATATTGTTTAGGCAATGGCACTTCCCCACAGGTGCCACTAGTGGAGTGGACTCTGCTTTTGATGTAAACTGGACGCTTTGTCTGTCAGTTTGACAACCCTCAGGTCACATCAGAGTAATAACAATATGTGGGGAATTAATAATGAAGACTAGAATATTTTCCATACCGTTAATTAACTTTCGCCTCTTTTGAATAGGCACTGTTATTTGTTTATTGCTGTATTCGCGTGGGAGTATCACCAGTTAAACGCTGAGGTTATTTTATGTTTCTTTTTCAAAACAATATGAATGACAGATTGCTGTGTTTAGCTAACCCCACAAAGTGCCGTTTGTAGGCGACGTATTCACACTGATTACTTCCTGGTTTGTCGGTATCAAGTCCCGGTGTCGTGCCAAAGAATTTGTTTCCCCTGTGCTGGGAGCACGCAGGAAGTACTGATATTTTCATTTTGTGAAAAAGTGAAAAATTAGTATCGTTACATTACCATTCAGTTTGAAGGTTACAGCAGAAAATTATGTATTTATTGCTCACGGGGTATCAGATGGGATTATTTTAATAAACCATTAACATTTTGGCTGATAACTATTTTGATTCTCCTGTAACTTTACTATATAAAGAGCAAAATCCTCCAAAGTTTCAGGAGTAATGCGTCATAATAAGAAGTGTTTGTGAACAAAAAAATCAGCAATGTGGGATACTGTTGGTCCGTGATTTACACAGGGGGAACAAATTGTGGCAGGATCAGCCTGATATTATTTGTATCCCACTATAACTTCGTTGTATAAAGACCTAACATCTCAAAAATGTCAGGCGTAGTTAGTCATTATAAGAAGTGTTTGTAAACTAAAAATCAACAATGTGGGATACTGTTGGTCCGTGATTTGGACAGTCCAGCGTGTGCTCCCTACGCAGGGGAAACACCGAAAAGCCGCACCCGTGACACATCTGCTCACCCTTACCTGGTAATACAACACCTGTTAGAGAAGCGGGCCTGCCTCAACCTCGGGAAGTCTGCGGATGCTGACGAAGGTGAGGTGCACCACCGGCCGAAGCAACCGCAGAGGACTGTCGTATAGCCGCGGAGTGAGACGCAGTCACGCTGCACGGAGTGGACCGTTTTTTCTCATTATGTGAGTTTAAAGTGTGATTTCATCTCCCGCTAACGTCACTTGTGTGTGTTTCACTGGATGTTTAAAACTCAAAGTTTACAGTTTAAAGAAATGGAGCGTTTCTACGCCCGGTTTTAGTCTGTTAGCCTACAAACTGAGCTCTGATCAGGGTCCTACACGAGTCCTACACCTGTGTTAGTTCAGTGACCTCCAGGATCCGTTGATCGGCGGACAGAGGCGTTTTCTAGCAGCTTAAGTACAGTTTTTTGTTTTAAGGCGGTACTTTTGCGACTTTTTCCCGAAGTCGCAAAAGAATGACGTCACAACATTCTGATTGGTCACTTGCAATGTTGATCCTGGAACAACATTTACTATGTTGATCTGGGAACAACACCAACACGACGATATCAGATCGCGCCGCGGGCAGAGGTTTTTTTTTCATACCTGTAATTCTTCAGCAGCAGTCAGCCTTTCTTTTATAAACTCGCACTGTTGCTTCAACAGCTAAAGAGTTTCGCTGTTAAGCGAGCTAACGGTACATGAACACGTCGAAGAGTAAGGGTTGTGGCATCTTCCGCTGCTCTTCTGAATTTCCGGGAAACTGGTCATATCAGTGGCGTATTGCTGCCCTCCTCAGGCCATTAGTAGAAACTGGATGTGATCCTCTGTGTGTGAGAGCTGCTTCAGCTCAGCATCTTTCCTCTTCAGCTCAGTGATCTCCTGCTCCAGCTTCTCCTGAAGCTCTTTGACTCGACTCACTTCAGTTTCCTGCTGGGATCTGAT